AGCATTGGAGAAACTACCCACCTTAGCATACTTTAACCTGCACAGACGCACACAGTTGATTGCGGATGCCAGCCCAATAGCGCTAGGAGTTGTTCTCCTCCAGTACGATGAAAGCGAACAACCACATGTCATTTCTTTTGCAAGTAAGAGTTTATCTACGGTAGAACGGCGATACTCGCAAACAGAGAAGGAAAGCCTGGCTTTGGTTTGGGCGGTTGAAAGGTTCTATTTTTACCTGGCTGGAATAGATTTTGAGTTAATCACAGACCACAAGCCGCTAGAGGCCATATTTAGGCCCACCTCAAAGCCTCCAGCAAGAATAGAACGATGGTTATTGCGATTACAAGCCTTCAGATTCAAAGTCAAGTACAAATCTGGTAAATCCAACATCGCTGATCCCTTTTCAAGACTGTGTAAACTAGAAGCAGACAAAACTTTCGATGAACCAAATGAGTACCATGTACAAATGATCATAAATGAAGCCATTCCTAAGGCTCTTTCCATCTCCAAAGTTATTTCTGAGAGTAAAACAGACGTCCAAATAGTAGATGCAATCGATAAGATATCAGAAAATACTTGGTCACCAAATGATCAAAATCCATTCTACCCGTTCCGCTTGGAACTAACCCACATGGGTCCTGTGCTTCTTAGGGGAAATAAAATAGTAATACCCACAAACCTCCGATGTCACACGCTACAACTAGCACATGAAGGCCATCCTGGGGAGACGGTGATGAAGCGTCGCCTACGTTCCAAGGTATGGTGGCCACAAATAGACAAAGAAACCGAGAAACATGTAAAAACCTGTATGGAGTGCCTTCTAGTATCACAACCCAACAAACCCCCACCAATGGCGAGGAAAAGGCTACCACCGGGACCCTGGAAGGATATAGCACTCGACTACATGTCCGGCGAACCAAATCAAGACTACCTACTAGTTATTATCGATTACTATTCTCGTTATGTCGAAGCAGTGTTTACCAGAAATACCAATTCCGCAACAGTGATTAGAGCTTTGGAAGAAATCTTCTGCCGGTTGGGACTTCCACAAACCTTGAAGGTAGACAATGCTACGAACTTCAATAGTCAGGAATTTAAAAATTATTGCTTAACAAATGGAATTGACCTGGTTAACTCGGCTCCATACTGGCCTCAAGCCAATGGTGAGGTAGAAAACATAAATAAATCGTTGAAAAAACGACTTCAAATAGCTTACCAGAAAAGCGATAAAAACTATAAGCAGGAAATACAGAAATATTTAATGTGACACCTCATGGGACAACCGGAAAATCTCCTTCAGAGTTGATCATGAATCGAAGGATTCGAGATAAAATACCAAGTATTGAAGACATAGCGATTGAAACACTGGACGAAGAGGTATATGATAGAGACTTAGCAAGCAAGGAAATGGGAAAAAGAAAGGAAGACAATAGAAGAGGAGCTACACCTAGAGAAATAGAACCTGGGAATAAAGTTGTCGTGAAGAACATCATATACCAAAATAAGTTAACACCAAATTTCGATTCTACAGTATATGATGTTTTACACAGAAATGGAAACGAGTTAACACTTCATGGAAATGGTAAAATCATAAGACGCAATATTGCTCATGTAAAGAAAATACCGGAGAGTCAAGCTCCATTGGTTACCACACCCCAAACCGTTTCCCCATATCCTCACACACTACCTCCAAATCCTTCCCAGCCTCAACCACCATCAGAAGATAACGAAGATGAAGACCCCAACGCAAGTCCCCAAGTAGAACCTCTCAAGCTCGTGAAAAGAGGAGGGATGTGGGGACTGGGAAATCAGGCAACGCCGCCGCGGCCGGTCGAGAACTAGGAACCTGTGAAGACAGGGTGGATTTATTAGTTAAGATTTGACTTTATGATTGTATGTAGTTGTGTTAATGAGATTATTCAGATTTGTGTTAAATATATTGTTACTTGTGTTACTGTGTTATTATTGGTTCAGATACAATAACGGAGAGCACCACACTCGCCCTATCAATATGCTTCCGGCAGTAGAAAAATTAATTGAGCTGGTTGTCTATGAACAGTTTTTAGAATATTGTACAGAACATAAAATAATAAATAAATATCAATCTGGTTTTAGAAAATTTCATTCATGTGAGTCTGTTATACAGTTATTATTGCATACATGGAAGCATATGAAGGATGATGGTGAGACTGTTGGGATTGTGTTTTTGGACTTAAGGAGGGCGTTTGAAACAGTTTGTAGAGAGAGGCTCTTATTGAAGTTGAGGAGAATTGGAATTGGTGGAATGGTTTTATCATTTTTTGAATCTTATTTATCAAATAGATATCAAATAGTAAAGTGTAACAATGTTTGCTCTGAAAAACGTAAAACTGTGTATGGCGTCCCTCAAGGAAGTGTGCTTGGACCGCTGCTTTTTGCTTTGTACATTAATGACATAACATCTTTGTCAGATTCACCGGTTCCATCATACTATACGGAAACACTAAAACTTACAAGTTCGATATACTTTCTTCATAAAACCGTTTAGTTCCTCTTTAAAATGTTCAATTAGATGCGGAAAACAATAAATATTCTTATGAATAAATAAATTTACTGAAATTCATACAGGAAAATATTTGTCATTTAATTTACGAAGATTATTGATTTTATGTTTTTTTTTTTGTTGAAAAGTTTCATCTTTTTCTTTACGAGACCCAGAAAAAAATTACTTTACTATTGATTCATTTTTTATTTATGTGTCATTATCGAAAAACAGAGCGATAGTGATATTAAACTGATAAGAATTTCTATTATTCATTGATCTGTGTCAAAGGTTGAGAAGAGGATCGTCTGTTATAATTTTTATTCTATTTATGCGGGAGAATCATTTGGTACAGATTGATGAATCAGTAATTTCTAAAAGAAAATATAACAGAGGTCGTTTGGTGAAAGAGTCGTGGATATTAAGAATTTATAATGCGACTGAAAAAAGGGAATATATTCAATATGTCAAAAATCGATCCGCTGCGATTCTTTTACCGATTATAAGAAAACATGTAAGGGTCGGTAGGGAAATATGGACAGATAATTGGCGCGCTTACTCTGGATTAGTAGACTATGGTGACGTCCACCGAACAGTAAACCATACCAAATATTTCAAAGATCCCATTACAGGGGTCTGTACCAACCAGGTGGAAGGGTATTGGTCTGGCTTGAAAAAATATGTCAGCGCTCTGGGTGTTATGCATTCAAAATATTTGCCACAATATATTGACCAATATAGGAATGTGGAAGCAGATATATGGCAAAAATGCCATTCAACGAATGTATAACTTAACATTGCAAATTGGACAAAAATATTAAATGGTTTTTTTATAGGATTATTTAGTTGATTAATGATATATTTTGTTCCCTTAAGGAAGTTTGCTTTGTTTAGTTTTAGTGGTTCTTAATTCAACTTTTCCATTTTTATATTATATGTATAGATACAAATGGTTAATGGAACTTATTAGTCAGTTTGAACTGAATTTTCTTGCAGAAAAATGAAAAAACCCGCATTTTTTTTTTCATAAAACTATTATTTGAGTTGTCTACTTTAATGTAAAAGCTTCAAAAATGTCAAATTCTTGTTTCCGGATAGTGTGATGGACCCGATTCACCAGTTCGCAGATGATACTGTTATATTTTTCAGTTCTGATTCGCACCAAATGCTTTCCAGAACCCTCAATAGGGAATTGAAGTCTGTTTATGCTTGGTTGTGTGTAAATAAATTGAAGCTTAACTTATCTAAGTCAAAATGTTTAATAGTTGGTAGAACAAAAACAGATAGGGAAATTTTTGTTAATAATTTTAGAATTCAAATGAATAACGAGAATATTGAATATGGGGACAAAATAAAATATCTTGGTTTTATTTTAAATAATCAATTAAGTTTAAATGATCATTTTGAATATATAATTGGTAAAATTGGTAAAAAGATTGGTTTTTTGTGTCGTTTGAGGTACAAACTATCAGTGCATACAAAGAGGTTAATATTTAATAGTATAATAAAGCCACATTTTGATTACTGTGGATCCTTGCTTTTTTTTGGAAATAAGACTGATGTGGATAAATTACAAGTGCTTCAGAATAGAGCAATGAGAGCAATTTTAAATCGCGATCATTATGAACCAATTAAAAATATGTTAACTTCTTTAAATTGTCTTGACGTTAATTGTAGTTTCAAATATCAACTTTTGCTTTTCATTTATAAGATAGAACATGCACTGCAGCCTCCATATTTACAAGATCTCTTACAAAGAAATAATGAAATTCATAGTTATCATAGAAGAAATCAGTACAATTTTCATCCATGTACAATAAAACATTATTCAACCTCCTTTGGTTTATTTGATATGGGTTTGTCATTGTATAACTTGCTGCCTAACAGTTGAAAACTGGGTCCTTAAATAAAACAAAAAAAGCATTAAAAGAATATATTATGAATGAATCAAAATAAAGTTCCTTGTGTTGGTTGTTATTTGTGATAACACAGAGCCTATACCTATTTAGATTTTAGATTTAGTTTTAAGTAATTTTTTGTAACAAATTGTTGTATTAATGGGTTTTCCAAATAAACGATTTATTATTATTATTATTATTTAAATAAAGTCGAGAAAAAATAAAAACAATTTTGCAAAATTTCGGTTTTATCCGGATATCTCCGGAAGTATTCGGAATATTCTAAATATCAAAACGGAATTTTGTTAAGCATCAAATTATGCAAGTTTGCCCTAATTTAACCAACCTCATATCTCTCACCGTTTCCGAGATCCCAATGATGTGGCTCGAATTTGAAACACCCTGTACAGAAAATTTTACTTCGTATCCCTGAGGAAGGTAGAAACCACACCACGGAAACGTTGGCCTAATAATGTAAAGTTTGGAAATAAAAATTGTCCTCGAAGCTCGTGAACTGGACATGAAACACCTGCAGATTATAATAATTTCCAATGAATCTAAATTTTTATTGATTTTTTCAGTTTTTACAAAACTTGTCCAAAGTGCAGAGATGATCCTGCGTGTGGTTGGTGCGACGATGGTTCAAAGACAGGGCTGGGAATTTGTATGCCTGGAGGATATGCTGGTAACATTTTTTTTTTGTTGAAAGAATAATTTCAGGTTTGTCGATAGCATAATCTTCATGAAAACGAGTGTGAAGAGATAGACATATTTTATTCTCGTGATTGAAGTTAGCTTTGACTTCTAGCCTTTAATAAGGGATGTATGCAATTCACACCAGAACAATTTTTAACTTTTTTAAATTAACCTCCACTGGAACTATAGGTTATTTAGGATTGCAGAGCATGCTCTTATTATCATAATAAATTACCATATAACTAATAAAATTAAATCTTAATATATGAAAGATATTTTTCCATAAAAAAGACTCGTAAGACGCTTCAGGTTCTTTTCTCGAGATTTTGAATGGGTTCATTTTTTAGCAGGCTTAACAAAATGTTCTAGAATACCCTCTTGAATTGGTTTCAAATTTGGTATAAAGGATTAAGGGTTGAAGATATAAAAAAAACTCGACAAAAGCAGGTTTTCATCCTTTTTATCGAGATTTTGAATCTGTTACCAGTACCATTATTTAACAGTGTTCTAGAATACCTACTCCCATAAATGGCTCTATAGAAGTCGAGGTCAGTACTTCCCGCACGTGTTTGATTCCATCTCAATTTTTGTTTTCATTACCCATACATTATTTTTTATTATGTTCTCTTACACTGCATCTAGTATTTGTCTTTTGTAAGATGGTTACTTTCTAGTTTTCTAAATAGAATGTATTTTTATTATGCATATCTATTTATCTTATTTTTCTTTTCTTTATTGTTTTACCCTTAATCTGGTATCTGGATATGGTTAAGAGTTAGATGTTAGCTACCAAAGCATTACAAGTGGTTGTTTAAAAAATAATAATTATCCACTTTCTTCTAGGTCCAACTTTACACATTCATTCATTGTCCCGCGATATTTGTCCTGTGGAACGTTGGCACTTCACCACGTGTCCCCTATGCCAATGCAACGGGCATGCTCATTGTAAAGGCAATTCTAGTTTATGTGATACATGCCAGGTAAAAAAGTGTTTATTAATTCTCACTATTACCTCCATAATATTTTTTTTATTTAGAATTTGACAACTGGCCAACATTGTGAGCAATGTAAAACTGGTTACTGGGGTAGTCCGGTGAACGGAGGTAAATGTCAGAAGTGTGAGTGCCGTGGTCATGCTGATGACTGCCATAGGGAATCTGGTAAATGTCATTGTAGAACTAAAGGTCTTATAGGAGATCAGTGCGAAAAATGTGATATAGCCAATCATTACAGACCGGATATTTGGAGCAACAGCTCATGTTATTGTAAGTGCTAAATTTAGCTGTTGGTTTACAGATAAATAACGACATTTTTTTCAGACGATTTAACAATCGATTATCAGTTTACGTTTAATTTATCAAAAAAAGAAGATAGACACTTTAGGCAGATAAATTTTAGAAATTCCCCTCAAAAAGCTGATATAGATGTAGATTTTTCTGTGATTTGTTCGGAATTAGCTAAAATGAATATTACTATTAGGAGATTTAGTAATGGCGAGGAGAAGCCTATTTTTTCCGTCCTAAATTGTACAACTTTTCGGTAAGAACTCAACAAACAAATGCACAGGAATTTTGGATATAATTTTTTTTATTGTAGGCATCGATTTGGTAAAGCCGATTATTCCTTTGGCTATGAAAATAATGTAACCCTCACCACATTCTATGTGTACGTTTACGATTTTCAGCCACCCTTATTGATTCAAATATCATTTTCTCAATACCCCAAACTAAATCTCCAGCAATTTTTCATCACATTTTCGTCGTGAGTACTTGGAAGCGGCATACATTTATTTTGTTCTATGGAAATTTATTTTAGGTGTTTTTTGCTGTTACTTCTAGTCGCCGCAGTTTTGTGGAAAATAAAGCAACGCTATGACATGTTCCGACGACGTCAAAGGCTATTTGTTGAAATGGAACAAATGGCCTCTAGACCATTTTCTCAAGTAAAACTTTATCAACCTTATAGAGTTGGATAAGTGTCAAATCTTGTGTTTCAGGTTTTAGTAGAGATGGATAGACAAAAATCTGTAGATATACCGGCGGATCTCTCTAAAAGAGATAGAAAGAAAAAAGACGCTCCAAGCCCTATAGCTCTAGAGCCCTGTGATGGTAGCAGAGCCGCCGTTTTGAGCCTATTAGTGAGATTACCAACAGGTAATGTTAATTTTATATTAATCCATTCGAAAAAAATATTATGTATCAAATTCTTAGGAGGTGATTCATATACCATCAAAGGCCAGTCTTCAGGTTTGTCCATAGCCAGTGCGCTAGTCACTTTAGGTAATCCGAGAAGGTTGAGCCTGGATCACATGAAAACTGAAACGAAACTCGGTAAAAATCGTAAAGGTCAGAGTCAGCATCCGGAAAATTGTATTTAATGTAAAATTATTGGTACCTATCCAGTACTAACTATACATATTATTCCAAACTTAATGGCTAAAAATTTATTTATGTGATCGCACTGATTCAATTTTTTTAGATTTCTGTTATTTATTGTAACTTTTTTTTTTAATTAAAAATAGATATTTAATGATATTATTTACTGAATTGTGTCTGGGTATTTTATTCTCCAAATACGCTAACAAAATGCTGCCTGTGCAATTCTTTAACTAGCTTAGTTCCCTTGACCGAAATTAATGAATGAAGATTACTCGCAAAATGCTGTCATATTTTTGAGACATTTAAGGCAATATTTTATGCTTTACTCAATATCTGGCTTCATTTGTGTCAGCATACAGCATAGCTTCATGAATGACTTGAGCAACATCATATCTTCGTATAGCTCTTGGAAAAATGCTTCAACCAGCATATTGGTTCACCTTAGATTCGGGAAATTTAAATTACTCTGTGAAAGTAAGTAATTATTGAGTATCCTCTATGGTATCTTTTCTCATCTCTGCCTACTCCAATTGAATTCTAGGGTGGGCATGTATCGATTTTTTCATATTTTATTAATTTGGTATAGGTACTAAATGTATAGTAGAGTATTTTATTAACACATTGATTAACACAAACCAAGAAAAAAATAACATAAAACCTTCTATAGTATAAAAATTGAAATAAAAAAACATTAATATTTAAAAAAAATATATATATTTATTATTATTTTTATATTTTCTTTGAACTCGATTCTGATGGGTTTTGCACAGATCCAGGTTATCAGGGACTTGCCAAGGCTTGATTGGTTGTTGAGAATGAGGTTGTTGAGAACCAAAAAAGTCTTCTTAATCTTTATATTACAAGGTGAAACAAGCACTTGGCTAATATAAAATACAATTTACATTTTACCAATACTATTGTCACGGCTCTGAGATGCGTGACTGAAATCTTGGGTACGTTTATTCAAAAATCAAAGTCCATCTAATACAATAATAATTTATTCCACGTTACTATACACTCTAACCCTAATTACTTCAATAATTAACTCAAACAACTTAACTCTTTACAACTCTTAGCAATAATCACTATCTAAATCATATCAAAGCCAATCTGAAACTTAAAAACTACTAACTAATACTGGGCTTTATATATCCGTAATCCATTCTTATAAAATCCAGAATAAACTTGATTATCTCTTTGCCCGAATAAGGCAGTCTTTTCTACAATTTTAGGCATGAATTTTGTATAAGCTGGCAAAAGCGCACCGTAATACGCCCATGATATTTCGTCAATCTGTCCAGATGTACAACTTTCATCTTACTTCTGGTGTTGCGCTCGAACTCGATAAACTTGATTATTCGGTAGGGTCCTTCCGATGCTGAAGACAATTTCGGCGACAGTCCTTGTTGGATTATACAGCCACACCATATCACCTTTTTGAAATCCGGCTGATTTGACTTTCAAGTCGTATCTGGTCTTCATTCGGTCACTGGCCAGTTGAATATGCTCCCGAGCAAAATCATGTATCTCCAGAAGTAGTGCCCTAACATCGTCGGCATAATCTCGGATTTCTTTTCGTTCTTCTTCAGGTATTCCAAAAATCAGATCGCAAGGTAACTTGGGCAGGGACTCTGTAATGGATAGAGATCGTTATCCTTATCGCTATGGCACTTGCTGTCTTCTTCTCTCTTGTCGAAATCAATACAGAGGAGACGTCAATAGAGATAGAGAAAATATCTCTATTCGTTACAAAGTCCCAGCCCTGAGTTCCTTTCCAAAAACGATTCTAAAGTTCATTTCTCAAAATGAGATAGTGAAAGTAAACAAACTTTGACAGGTGAGTCAAATTTTATTGGCTAGGAAAGGAATATACTCCGCCCTAGGCAGGACCGTCTTAGGTTGTTTTGTATTTCTCTTCTCTGAATATATTTCCGAACGAATTCTTCAGCGGAAACTGTTGAAGTTGATATTGTTTTAATCTAAATTGCTCACTAATTAACAATAATTCCCCAAACACTATTTAAATAATTGTAAAATACTAGGAAATACGACATTAAACTTATTGACTCATATGACAACCTGACAATAATAAATGTCATCAGTTGTAATTCTTGGATTTTTGGAGTCTTTCTCTGAATTTTTAAGCTCCGCCTGTTTGTTTACTGTTGTGTTGTTGGGACAGGTAAAATAAAATACAGGTTTTTACTACCATAAAAGTCTCCTTCTTTATTCATAAACATTTTAATATAAGGTTCGTTTCACCAGGGTTCATACTTGACCTTGAAACTAAAAAAAAAAAGGGTCGTAGATTAATTCATATGACACATTCAATTTTTTTGACAAATCCTGCGTTTTTATTCTCATCAAATTTTACCGATGGATCCACGATTCTATGTCGGTCATTGTCATTTTCCATTCACTAAACAAAGATAGCTAACTCATCGGTGAATTCACCGATGAGAATAAAAACGAGGGGAAATTAAAATGAATGACTTCTAGTTCAAGAACCGACGAACATTTTTGACGTCATCGATTTGTTTCAGTCAATTTTTATTTGTTGAACAAGGAAGGCAAATGCTGGTGGCAAGTACAAACCCTGGCGAAACAAACTTTATATCAATATGAAATCCCCGCCACTACCCAAATGTACAATACAGGTGGGATTCCATAAATAATATCTAATATCATGACACTACTATCTCGTTTCGTGGAATGAACTTTAGCTGGACTTTTACCTGTTGACTCGTGAACAGTTGCTCTGGAAGCCATTAAAAATAAAGGCAAGTGTTTGTTCCAATCTCGCTGGTTCTTTGCGACCACTTTTGTCAGGTGTTCCTCTATGGTCTTATTAAATCGTTCTACCATGCCATCAGATTGGGGATGTAAAGGTGCTGTCCTTGTCTTACGAATACCCATGATCTCACAAATTTTCTTAAGGATGGCAGATTCGAAGTTTCGTCCCTGATCTGAATGCAACTGTAGTGGCACACCATGACGACTGAAAACTCCGTCCACTAACACCTGGGCAATAGTGATGGCTTCTTGATTGGAAAAACGTTCCCAAATTTTGTCCAAAGTCTTGTTGACTCGAAAATGTGCCCCTGAAGTTCCGTCATGTATTTCTTTCAATACATCTTCTACTCGATCTTTTAGAATAACCAGTTTGCTTTTAGTAGATTTTCCATCGGCACTTTCCCAAATTCTTTTCAGTAAACCATTTTCTACGGTCAGAGACTTCCACTGAGCCCACAACGCCTCGTAAATCAAACTCTTGTTCGACACTTCCCTCCATTCTGACCTACATTCATCATTTTCTTTAAGATGTAGAAATTGACCGATGTCCTGGTCTGCTTCTTGATCTGCTCGCATTTGTTTGGTAGTCCATACGTCATCAACGATCAGACCCATTCTTCTCACAGCCGGACCAGTGTTTTTCTTATGTATATCGATTCCTTGACAATGCTTGCAGTCTTCTTTGCATGGCCGTCTAGACAGAGCGTCAGCATTTTCATGCTTTATATCTACAGGTTTCCAGGTCGATGTTTAATTTGAAAATCGTATTGCTGCAATTTCTCAATCCATCTGGCATCTAGCAAGCTGTCTTTCGGGAGTTTTCATTTCTAAAAGCCATTTTAGAGCTGCGTGATCTGTTCGAATTAGAAGCTTGCGTCCGTACAGATATACTTATGGAAATGGTCGACTGCTTTTACTATGGCAAACAACTCTCTTGTGGTGACACAATAATTTCGTTCTGGCTTTGATAAGGTTCTGTTGTAGTACTCTACGATATGCTCTTGTGAATTTTAAATTTGTCAAAGTACCGTTCCAATACTGGTGTTGCTTGCATCTGTGTCCAAAATCAACATGTCTTTCTGATCAGAATATGACAACACTCAGCTTGTACATACATCATGCTCTTTTTAATTTTCTAAAATGCGAAATCGCATTCTTGATTCCAATTGATTGTTGATTTTTCTTCCGGTAATCGATGAAGCGGAGCAGCTATATTAGCAAATCCTTCCACAAATCTTTGATTATAAGAACATAATCCTAGAAAACTCCTTAGGTCATGTTTGTCGCGTGGTTTTGGCCAATCCCTGACAGCATCTATCTTTCCTTCCATAACTTGTATACCATCTTCAGATACCACGTGACCTAAGAATTCCACTTTCTTTTGGAATAGAAAACATTTATTTGGATTGAGTTTTAAGTTGGTATTCCGGAAGCGGTCAAAAACTTCTTTCAGGTTATTATTGAGATGTACTTGGAATGAATTTCCCATGATCATGACATCATCTAAATATACCAGACGAGTTCTCCATATAAGGCCTCGCAAAACTAGATGCATCAGTCGCTCAAACCTAGCGGGAGCATTACACAATCCGAAAGGCATTACGTTAAACTGGTATAACCCGCTGAAGGCAGTTTTCTCTTTGTCATCTTTGTGTGTTGCCACTTGCCAGTTGCCAGTATCCACTTTTGAGATCCAGGGTGGAAAACCATTTGGAGCCCGATAGAGTTGTAAATGTATCGCCTATCCTCGGGATTGTGATGCTGTCATTCTTGGTTATTTTTTTTGGTGGGGAAAGTCGTCTGATTGAACTCCGAGTGGCGCTGCAGCCGGAAGCCGGAGGCTTATTGTGCTAAATCTTCCTGTTTACTGCACCCATTCCAAAACTCTGGTTCCCTGCAGTAGGCGAAGTAGGTCTGTTGGATGTTTGCCGTATGTGTCTGGATCTAGTTCAAATCCTCCAAATATATTTTGTCTTCTGCGAGTTTGTGCATCGCATTCTGATATAATATGTTGGGCTGTTTCGGTCTCTGTCCTGCTTAGTTGTAGCAGTCTTTTTGCTCTTTTGCTGCATGTTTCACGTATGAAGATTTTCCCATGTGCATGCTTGGGTATTTGCTTCCAGTATTGAGAATATTTTGGTTTGATCCATTCCTTCAGCTCCTTTCTTACTGTGCTTTTGGGCACTCCGAGAGCTGGTTCGGGACCAAGGTATTCTGTGGATGACCCCCTGTATGCAAGTTCGTCAGCCTTTTCGTTGCCCGGGATATCTCTATGTCCTGGCACCCATATCAATGTGACGTTATTTTGGTCCGCCAATACTACGAGAGCCCGTGACACAAAAGCCTCAGTCATCTGTTAGAAGGCAGTTTTTTGG